GGGGATGTGCCAGGTCCAAATCTTATGTGTTAAAAGTACGGTCTCCGGTTCAGCAAGGCTCAGAGATGCTGCTTTTAGGACATGATTACATCATGAAGGATATGTCCACATCAGGCGATTAATCCATCCACTGAAAGCTGAAAGACTGCTGAGAGGCAGGACCTAGTGTGTCACTTGGGTGTGCTTGAGGTAGGTTTATCTTTTCTGTGCCTCCCACCCCCTCGCTTCCCTGTTGCTCAGAGCTCAGCATCTTTTCCCTAGGTTGTTTTCCTCCTCTGTTAATTTTTGTCAAGTATTTTGATTAYACAATGTAAAACAAGAAGGAAAAGCTCTTAAATAAGTACTAAACTTATAAAATCAATAAGCAATAGATACAAGTATACAAGGCACCTTAAAAAAAAAATCTACCAAAACAACAAGAGGTGAGTATTCACTCACCTCTAGGAACTGGAAATACAGCAGTGAATAAGCAGCAGATGTCACTGCCACCATGTAACTTACTATTCTGTTAGCTAACTGGATTATTCTGTTTATATCTTGGTACCTTTTYAGTATTAATGTCAGCTGAAGATGACAAATGCCAACCTAGAATCCCATCTAGAGAAGACTATGCTTGTCATATCTCAAGTCCCATATGCACTTTTAGCTCTACCTGGGTTCTGTCTCTGTTTCTSTAATTGGTGTGTAAATGTAGCAGACACTGTTTAATTATACAGGCTGTATTTTTTAATATCTGTACCCTGGTCGTCTTTAATTCCTTCCCATCTCTCCCGCCCTCCCCTCCATTTTCCCYCAGTGTGTCTAGCTATTCTGATTGGTAGTATTGGGTGGAATGAACTGTATAGTATCTTCCTGATATTGCCATCAGGCTCCACAGGTAAAGTCACTTCCCTGACACCACTCCTCAAGGCAAAGTTGGCTTCACCAGGCAATATTCTGGGATTGTGTACCTTTTCCTGTGGCCTTTACAGCACATTTCTCTTAACAGTTATTATCTCTGTAAACCTGAAGTCCAGATTCTGGGCTAGTGATTGTACCAGGGAGAAGCACTCTGTGGCTACTCAGTTCCATAGGTTGAATGGCCCTGAGAAAACAGTGTTCATTTATCCAGACAGAAGACATTAAGATATAAAATGGCGCTAAGAACACCAGGCCTCAGGACTGCACAAGGTCTAGAGGGACTGCTGGGGGGCAGGTGAGACTAATGAGCAAAAGGTCATGCCCATAAGGAGAAACAGGGAAAGGGAGGACTTTGAGGGTCATAAACTGGAGAGATGGAAGTCACATTTCAGGAGAAGAAAGCCTCTGAACTCCAGCTCTGCCCAGGCTAAAATCAGGGCCAGAAAGTCTATTGTGAATTTTTTAAAAAGTTAATATTTTGAGTGGTAGTGCACCCAACTCCAAAAGGACAGACCAGATTTGAAACTAAAGGATTGATTGCCAAGGTATTAGTTGGTGTCAGGGAAAGTAGAGAGCAGGGGTCAGCCATGGCTCAAGAACTAGAAAGTAGTAGGGAATCCAGACCTGGAGAAAGCAAGTAGATGCCAGGAGCTGTTGAGTCACTGGATTTGCATCTGAGGACTTTGAACCTGTAACTTGACCTGTGCAGCACTGCATGGATATAGCACCATGTCCTGGCCCAGAAGGATGGGGCAAAGATACAGCAGTCAGGTACAGAGCTAGGCTGGGGCACAGGGACGTTTTCAGCAGACATTAGGTATTTTGAGCAGGGCTTTGGATAGGGCTTTGGATAGGGCTTTTCATGTGTCCCTGATGAGGACCAAGAATAGGGTTAACACAGTTGCTCCTGAGTTCACAGACCAGTGTAGCAAAACAATGACTATAGACATGGAATCCCATTCTCTTATGCACACTGTCCCTTTTAACAGGTTTCCTCACTTGAAGTGGTTTATTAATATAGAGTCTTTGAGAAGAACTTTACTGTTTATCCTGATCATTCCAACAGCTCCTCCATCTGGACCTTTAAGTTGTAAGTAGTTTATGCACAATTGGAAACGTTTTTAATAAAATTCTCACATCRGATAAAAAGTATAAATGTGTATCACATTTCTCCATACCAGTGTATAATATTATCATATAGCAATCTAAAGTGCAAGGATTTTTTTAAAAAAATATTAAGACCTATTTAGTTCTAATGTAGGTTTACCTATTAGGAAACTAGAAGCAGGGCTCAGGATATAGCTCAGTTGGTAGTACGCTTGGCTTGCATGCACAAGGCCCTGGGTTCAATCCCCAGCACCAAAAAATAAAAAGTTTAGTGGTAGAGCACTTGCCTAGTATGCCTGAGGCCCTGGGTTTAATCCCCAACAACAAAAGTTTAAGAAAAGTAGTTTTATAGTAGTAATCAGTATGTAGATGAAAATGAAAATCTTTCTCACAGCACTTCTGAATCTTTGGAGTTAATGCTTATTTGGTGTAATAGGGATTAAGTGTGGGCTCAACAGCAAGGACCCCAAAGACCAGTTATCATGAGTTTTTGTTAAGGTGGAATGTGGGAGGGAATAGTGAGTTTGCCTGATCTAAGCAGATGACTATGGGACCAGCACAGTATTAAAAATGTGGTAACATTCAAGAGAGAATTGGCATAACTAAATGTAATGGATACGCATATTGTAATAATCAGAACTTTTTTGTGAGGGCGTACTRGGGATCAAGCCCAAGGATGTTTTGTTTTACCATTAGGTTACATCTCCAGCCTTTTTATTTTGAGGCAGGGTCTTGCCAGGTTACTGAGGCTGGCTTCAAACTTGGCAGTCCTTCTGCCTTAACCTCTCAGGTCAGTGGGATTACAGATATATGCCACCAGCTAAGCAGAACTCCTTAATTATATAAAATGGAAACAAAGCCAATGAAAAATACCTCCACAGAGCAGGTAGAATGATTCATTGCAGAGGTGGCTATGTCTTTAGTAGTCACACAGAAACATTTGCGTGCAGTTTTTTAATGCTGCATTGGACTACAGTGGTGGTACAGAATTTTCAGTAGTACTACCTCTTCTCCAGGCACTTTTAACTTGCACGTTATCAGGGTTTAAATTTCATTTTACTTTAAAACAAGGGAACATTGGGCATTTTAGAACCAGAAATCATTCCTCTTCCCCTCTTAGCATTCAAAATTCCACATAAAGAACAGTTTTGCTAGCATACCTTGCAGGGCAAATAAATTCAGAAGCTTGGGAAACTTGCTTTTCCTTTCTACAATGTTCCTGCAGCATCTTGCAGCTTGTAGGGTACATGGTTCTATGAGAGGATGTGAGTCTGACAGTTGTTTATTCCAGTGTGGGTTGACATCATTCCTAAAAGTTTAGCATTACTTTTTTAAAAGGAGGAGGGCAGAATGGGCACTTAAAATATTATCTTTCCCAACAAAAAATAGTTCATGTAAATATTAGCAACCTATCATAAAAGTGGATTGTGGCTTCTGTTACTTGATGCTGGGGATTTTCCTTTTCCTGATAGTAACAAGATAATTAAACAGTGTTTATGTACTGTTGGATAAGTATAATAATTATGTGATTTTATGATATTGCACTTTAAAATACACCTGTCCTTRGCTGACTAAATAGTGAAGGATGCAGGACATAGCAAAGACTTATATGGTGCATCTGCCTGAATTCTCCCAGCACAGTGGGAGACAACGTGGCCCAAAGGCAAGCAAGAGTCTCCCTATGATCCTGGAGTTCTCTTTCCTGGGTATATATGCACTTTGCCTTAATACTATGAACTCCTTAAACATGAAAAAGAAAGTGACCACGATGGGGGTTTCTTAACACTGTTTAGAGTAACAATGTATAATACTGTTTTGAGGCAACCTAAATGATTGGTGCAGGCTTTGCTTCAGTGTAAAATTTTCCCTGGCAAGTAACTATTTTAAATGGTATTTTAAATAATAGTTGACCCAGATTATTCCATGTACAGAAAGACTGTGTTCTGAGATTACGCAGGGTAAAGGTTTTCTGAAAAACCCAATCATGACTCATTTGAATAACTTTGGAGATCCCAATTTTAAAGACCATCAGAATAAGAAAGTAGAGTTGTTTATGTGAAGTTAATGTCCAGAGATTAGTTATTCCTGAAGACCAGAGTGGGAAGTAGGAGCTACAGAACTTAGAATCCTTACAAATCCTTCTCACTTGTCCTTCATTCTGTCCTAAGATGAAACTTCTAAGGTGAGGCAGAATGGAATAGTCCTTACTCTACAACAATGATACTTCCTCTAGAACCAGAGGTGTGCTGTGTGGAAAATCGGAGCATTCAGCCTCCCTGTGGGTAGCTCGAGAGTATATACAGTGGAGGTCTGGAGGTTTTACAATGGCACTTTTGGTCTGGGATATATTTCATAGAGAGTTCTTTCAGCAATTGTCTGGAAAATCCCCCTCCCCAATAGCTTATTGCAGCCCCACTGCCATGTCAAACCTTCAGCTTTCAGCTGAGTTGCTTATGGAGCTGTTCAAGAGGCATTTTAAACGTGGTTGGATATTACAGAAAAACTATCAATTCTAGRGAATTTCAACCTAAAGGCATATTAACGCTTTCTTGGGAACCTCATGGTTTCTCCTTGAGAAGTGGATGTTTGCCGAGTTAGGAAAGGTAGAATCTGGCTACACTCCTGAAGTAATGGATATTCAATTTCATTTTGCTGAAAAAAATATGCAAAATCACTATGAATAAAGCAGAGGTGGTTTAATAGTGTCAGTCAGCTACATTGTTAATGTAATCAGCTTGTTCTTACCAAAGTGCATGCATTGGTGTCCTTAAAAGGAAGTACCAGACTTTTGGCAAAATATAAGATTGAGACCAAACATCTGGATCTTTAGAAAACTCTGAAGAGCCATTTTCCTTAAAGGCTGATGATGTTCCAAGTAATTTAACACTGCAGTCACAATTGGCTTTCTGGATGTGAATTGTATTTTAGGAGTCTACTAATGTGGAGGAATCCAAGTGACCTTCAGAGGTAAGGATGACTTTAGTTCAAAAGCCTTAAACCATGTATTCTGTACTTTTAAAGTGAATTATGCATAAAAGATGTGCAAACTACAACATATATTGCATAACAGTCTCRAGGAAAAATCCTAGTATTCTTTAGCATTATTATTTAAGTTATATAAAATACATTTTTATAAAAGTACATATTTTCTTTAAATTATACCCAATGAAATAGCCAGGCTTGCTTATTAGTACTGAAAATAAGAATTTATCAATCTAAATTATTGCTTTGTCCTATAGAGCCATTAGAAAAAAATAAAATAAAAATCAAGTCCTATTTCTTAGGGGAAAAGTGCCCCCCAAAAAAACTCAGCTATCATTGTCTTTCTGTAGATTTTCAACAAAGGAATCTTCAATTAAAGTGTAACTAATGCTACCCGTGGCTTGGTTTGTCAGGATCCAAAGTTGAGTCTTGCTGTGAAGTTCCTCCTTGTGCTGGGAAACTGTTAGTTTGTTGTCCCCAGTCATAGTAGTCTGGAGCAAAACTTAAAAAAAAAAAAAAAAAAATCACTATCTTAAAGTGGCATATTCCGTATGCATGACATGTCTGGTTAAGTAGATGGAACTGGTATACACTAAGCCCATTTAGAACAGTCCTGTGCACCAYGCTGGCAACCTACACATGGTCTATTGAACTTTTTTTAAAAAGTCAATGGACCTTTATTATGTTTTRTTTATACACGGTGCTGAGAATCGAACCCAGTGCCTCACACATGCTAGGTGAGCGCTTTACAACTGAGCTACRACCCCAGCCCCTCTACTGAACTCTTCAGAACGCAGCATCACTAGAACCTAAGGACTTTCCTATTGCTAGCATAGGGCTAGGAATATAGCTCAATGATAGAGGGCTTGCCTAGTATTGTCTGAGGCCCTGGGTTCCATCCCCATCTGCAGGGGTGAGGGTGCATATCTTATCAAAGGTACATTGACATAGAATAAATCTTTAAACTCAGCAACAGGAGGGGCTCAGCAAGCATGAGATCACAGGGCAGTGAGCATAGCTGAAACACCTGGACACTAAGGAAGGCTCTGACTTTAGAACATCTGATTAGTCTGCTTGGATTTCCCATGTTCCGTTTCTGTTAAGTGTTTTCATGGCCTAGTGTTCTCTTTCCCTCTTACAGAGTCAGAGTACACCTGTTATGGTTTASATGTGGTGTCACCCAAAAACTCACATGTAATACAATTATTTGGTTTTGAGAGTCTTAACCCCATCAGTGAATTAATCCTCTGATGAGGTTTAACAATGGTAACTGAAGTGGTTGGAGGAGGTGGGAATTGGGGGTGGCTTTGGTGAATATATTTGTGTCTGGCAAGCAGAGTCTCTTTGCTTCCTGATCACCATGATGTGAACTGCTTCCTTCTGCCATGATGTTGAGCCTCACCTCGAGCCCTGAGAAATGGAGCCAGCCTTCTATGGACTAAGACCTCTGAAACCATGAACCCTCACATCAACTTTTCCTCCTCTACAGTTGTGCATGTCCGGTCCTTTTGGCACAGTAGCAAAAAATGYTGACTGAAACAACACCTTAGGCTCTGGGAAATTCTGCAGTTGTTTTTCTTTTAAACACCATTTGCATCCACACAGCACAGCTATTACAGACATGCCGACCATGTAATGTTTAGGACACTGTAATAATGTCATGGGGCTTTAAGATTTTGTGTCAGTCCTTTTTCATTCACACTTCACTTATGTAAAATAATCTGCTAGAGGTCCTGCACCACCTCTAGCTACGTGCTACATGGTTTTCATGAAGGAATCCATTTCAGTGGTGTAGCTGTCTCCTCCTCATGAGCCCTATATGTGAACCAGGGTCTTACCTGCCCTGAAGTCCCTGAGGGGCAATGTTCCAGGCAAGGTCATCGTCACTGTCATATCTTCGAGGGTTGTCAAAGAAATACGATCTGGGATTGAATCCATGGCTGGGGACCATTCCAGGGTTGGTCTAGAAAGAGAKAATCATTCAGCATCCTTCCAGATACTATGCATTACCTAAGATTAAGATGTTCAGATCACTTCCTTTACGCTGGGGTGATCACTACATCAGCAYAGATAAAATCCATCTTGGTTTCAACAGTGAGTCATTGTTTAATCCCTCATTAAAAATGCCCAAATTAGCCAAACTTGGTAGTCCTTTTTGGATATAAACCTGTATAATTTTGTGGGCATTCATACAAAATAAAAACAGTGATGAAATCATACTGGGAAAGGTTCTTAACCTATTTCTATTGCCTGTCTCTATGGTCATTTCATCCTGTTTTTGCCCCCAAATTGAGTTCATTTCTCAAAAACTCTGAAATGTACATTGTTGAATTTCATCCCAGTTAGTTCTCTATCCAAGGGCCTCTGGGCCAGGGTATGCCTCAACCCTCACCCCAGCTTCACTGTTCTGTATTCCTGGATCATCAGTGACTGTCCAGAGAAGAATAAAGCAAGTTATTATCCTCGGGGTATGAGATAAGGACCAGATTATTTGTGGATTTCATTCTATGCTTTCATCCACCCTTTTCTCACATAGCCCAAATCTACTCATAACCTGAGATTAAGGAGGTGAAATTCTACCACTAGCTTGAGTGGCTGGAATAATCTGATGCAAAGCCCCCAGTAGAAGCTTTCTCTACCTAGTTTTAGCATTTTCTGTCCTGCCCCCATATATATTTATATAAAGGTAGTTGAACAGAAATGTGACCAAACTGCAGGAGTGGCTTTAGCCCCAGTCCCTKTCTACACTCTGTAGGGTGAAAAACTGAATTTATCATTTACTTTGCTAAAAGAAAAGCATATATATTTGGTGCACAGCAAATCCAGACTCAAATACTAGTGAGACTTTATTGCATTAAGAAAAATAATCACACTCCCCAGTCTACAAGATGCATTTCTTTTATAAAATAAACACATAAGGGAAAAGAAAGCCCCCAAATAGCCAAGGCACTTGTATCACGATGATATAAAGGAGGCTCTCTSCTCTACGCAAAAGCTAGGAAAAGATTCTAAGTGCAGGTCTCGTGAGCAGAATTGGTGTTTTTGCTAATATAAAATGGCATACTCACAAGACCCTTTGCAGGATTTCTAACTCGGAAGAAGTAAACTACCAAGGAGGTGGGTAAGAGTTCCCACACGAAAAGCACCACTCCAAACACCACATAGCCAGCGTCTCCCAGCTGATTCTTCAAATCTGCCTATAAAAAGGGGAGAGATGGCATCATCAAACTAATGGCAGAGGAAATACATTTGATTCAATTCTTTCTGACTTAAAACAGAACCATAATATGGTATGATTCCTTTCCGCTAAAATGTGCATTGTGTAATGGTCCCGGCTTTTCAGGATTATTTGAATCAGTCAGGAATGGATAACTTGTCATATAAAATACTCAGACRCCCAATTTCTGATGTTTTATTACTTCATCCCCCAGAACTCTTGTGTCCAATTTAACTTGCTCACTTAGATCTATGCTGATTTTCTTCAACAAGTAGACTGTTAGGTTGCCTCCTCTTCAGTTCTTGAGAGTAGCATGTGACTTACCCCTTAACTCTCATCCCTAGAATAAACATAAATTTTTAAGCTTCACATAAGCTATACCCTTTAAAGCTTACTGTAGGCTAGCTAGTCTATCAAGTCCTTATAGCACTAGATGTTGGGCTTTGGCCCAGGGTAATGGCCAATGGGGCTCAGCAACACAGTKATCTCCATCAGACAGGCGGTCCATAAGAAAAGGGGACCCAGATGTGAGAAACTCCAGAAAGAACAACATTCCAAACTAGGAGAAGGCACTGGAACCAAGTTCTAGAGGGCCAGGCACCTAACTTCCTTTTGCCTTCTCTAATGCATCATGTGGAAGATAAAGGAACCAAAACTACTCGTCTTGCTTTCCAGAAGGACCCTGATCACACTTCACATCCTTCACCTGTACTACAGCTCAGCCAACTTTTTCCAGTCTGCACCAAGAACATGTGCAACTATGGCCATTTGTTTTATTGTTCCTAAATTATTTGGGCTGTGACACACAAGTCCAGATCATAACAAAATAATTCCCCCCAAACAAAAGCATTTTAAAAACTGATTATATRTTCTCAATCCATGGTAATTATAAGCTCTTGAAAGAAAAATGTTTTGTTAAAACTAAATCTTTGTTGTTTAATGGAGCTTCAGTTTGGGAAGATGGAAAGGTTCTGGAGGTAGATGGTGACAGCTGCATGAATATTCTGAGTGCACTTGGTCTGCACACGTTAGGACATTTAATATACATTTTGCAATACRCAAATCCTTTGTGCATTATGAAAGATGTATTCATAATTGGTCACTATTTAGCTTAGGTTTTTATATATTGGAATTTGCAAGGCACACCCTGCCAGTGCCTGGCCCAGCTTTCTCCCCTCTGCACTTGTGGCCCTGGGCTCAGTCTGGGATTACTGTGTTATTGCTGTTCAATTCTCCCAATGGTGACATCTCACATTGATTTCACTTTGTCCTCTGGATTATCCTGGTCATTTTATTCTTTCTCCCACTGTCTTAATTCAGTTCTGCTGGGATTTTAGCAAAGGACTTATAGTTTATTGTGCATTGTTAATCCAAGGAAACCTAAGGAGCCCATCAACCCAACAGTCTTCTAGTAGAGAGTCATTTCTGTACTGTAATGGCATTTGTGTAGGTGTGTGTGTGTGGGTGCACGCGCGCACGCATGTGGGTGCATCGTCTGCCTGCAGACCATAAACCTCCCCCCACCCTGGGGCAGAGGCATCTGTTAATGTTTGTGTCCTGGCACTCTGCACAGAGCCTGACAACAAAAGTCAGGATATGTCAAATGAGTGAATGCCAGCTCATTCTCATCCTCGACTCTTCTGAGCTATTATGAGCATGGATGTCAGACATTTCACTACCTGGTTCCTTTGCTTACAGTTTATAACTTATGAATTCATAAAATGTGAGAATCATATTAGACCCCTGGTGCTGTGAGCTTTTATTAAACCATAATATCCTCATCACTATTGTATACATGCTCCATTAAAAAGTCTCAAAACTTCATAGTTTTGGGTACTTTCTTGAACCTAATATAATTTATTTTAGCAAATTTTACCCTTTAATAACACCATCTTATATGGAAGCAGGTAAAAATTTTAAGTACTTCTAAGCAAGAACCGTGAAGTGGAAAGGAGATGGGAGTGCATGTACCTATGCCGTATACTCATGTGCTTATGTGCATGTGCGCGCGCACACCTACACATAGCTCACCTAGCTTTCTCAGAAAATGTTACAAGAGCAAGATACTGTGGTCCATCAGACAGAGGAAGGTGCAGATACCACACGTGAAAGTCCTCTCAAGGTCACTCAGCTATTCATCACAAGTGAGGGGCTTACCCTCTGCCACCTGGARTGCCACATAGCAAACCCCTTGTGGTATCCTCACTGACCTGGTCAGATACATTGTACCAGTCGTAATCAAAGGAGTGGACATTCTCAATCTGAGAAAACGACAAGATGAACAGGTTATAGCACGCTCGCGAGGTGTAAAGCAGGATGACGGTAACACCAATGGCAGTCACTTGACACACGGAAGAGCCCTGGAAAAGAGCCAGCAGGGGTGGGTCACACCAGGTCCAGGACACTGGCCCCATCCCTTTCCCTCACCTGCTGTCACCCAGAGCCTCAGGAGCTCAGGCACTGCAGGAGCGCCCTTTAGGGCTTCTGTCAGAGCCCCACACCCAGGCCCACTGTGTCCACCCCTCCTCACATTCTAGGCAGCCTCCTGTGGGGAAGACCTGGGCCTTGGTTGGAAGATGCTTTTAATAGGGTTAGATATGAGCCCTTTGCCCAGGGTCCTACACTGTGAAGAGCCACAAAGCCAGAGGGCTTCTCTAAAATCACTGCCCAGCACATGAGCCCAGGCTGGGTCGGGCTAAGGGACACAGCGGTCTTGGAGGGACTGGCTAGGAGCAAATGTGCTGAGATGGTGTACCAGATGTATTAGATGTGAGCTCTTCCTCAAAATCCATAGCCTTCTAGGCTCCATATAATACAGGAGGCCTGATGTGACCCTGGGATTACAGGAAATCTGTGACTCATGCCCCACCTTAGAAAGTTATCAATTTCTAAAGTCAGTTAAAGAGCCTTAGCGAGAAATAGATAACTAACATTACCAAAAAACACTAGAGTTGATTTTTGGGTTTTGCATTTGGAAGTCATTACCTAAATCCAAAACATTATTTTGCCAGTAGTTCTGTTAGCTTGTGTGTCATATGGGTGAGCTAAATGGCATTTTGACAATCTATGACTTAACTCCAACTGTTAAAAATTAGTTTTATTTTTTTTAAATCCTTGAAATAGCCCCTAAGTGGGAGATGAAACAGTAAAGGTAAAATCAAGTCTGAAATTCATCACAATTTATAAATCCAAGAACTACTTTTTCACACTAACTTGCAAGATTTGCAAGAGGTCAACTAAATGAGCATCCTAATGAGGGCTTCATATGTTTGAAGTTAGATGCACAGATTTTAATCTGATCCCTTCTGAAGACATAGTGGGAGACAAGCTGCCCTTCATATCAGATATATTCTGGCAGATGGGCCCCAAGAAAGATGGACACAGGTATGCCTTGGGACTCCAGGCCCTGCGCCTCAGCAGCACGGGAGCTACAGTTGTCACTCAACCATTTGGTGAGTGGAAAGGCGAGGGGCTGGGGCCCAGGAGTACTCCCGGCCCCCATGCTCACCAAGCTTCTGGGCTGAGGTTCAGTCTGTTTATGAAAGAGATCTGGGGAACCTAGCTGACCACAAGCACTGTARTACCAGAGCATATTTGCCCTTCCTTCTAGTTGGGGACTAGGCTGTGAGGCACAGCAATGGGAGAAAAGAACAGTCCAGGARCATCCTTCCTGCTCATGTCTAGTTGTCTCTGAATATTCATCAGAAGAGGAATGTTCTGAATTCCAGGAGCCATCCCTACTGCTAAGGACAGGCTGCTCGAGGTCTGTCTGGCATCTGACTGGATCTGAGGGTCCCCGGCAGTGCAACAGCAGCACGACACCACAGTGTGGATCTCAGCTCTGCACCTGATAGCCATATGGCCAGCAGCCAGCTATTTGAGTTCTCCATGCCTCAGTTTTCTGACCCATAAATTGGGGATGAGATCTTGTCTCCTCCCAGAGCTGTGAGGGTTACATCCACTCATGCACATGACTGTTTGCTATTAGTGCTGTTAGTACAGCCCATCCTACCCGCCTTTAAAGTGTTGGGTTAAACTCTGTATCTACAAATCAGACTGTATACACCAACACACTGAGCCATCTGGCACAGAGCACTTCCTGCCTACAAGGTTCMGTGAATTCCCACTCCCCTGTCTGGCGACCACTGTGTGGTTAATCATTTGCAAGAGGACAGGCGTGAAAAAGATTTGTGTTGTGTCCTGTTTGTGAACCAGGAAACTACTTTTAGAACAGATTTCATGAGAGGAATCTTGACCACATTCCCACCCTACCTTCGACTCCAGGTAAATGTTGGCTAAGGACATCTTAGAGATTTTGTAGAGACAGATGGAGAGAGACACAGCACACAGCACGAAGAGCGTGTCATTGATGGCTACTCGCACAGAGACGATGACCTTCCTCTCCCAGTTGCCAGTCTTCACCAGCACAGCGCAGGTTAAATTCACCAACAGGAAAACGAGACTAATGAAGAGTGAGGCCAGGTAGAGGGGCAACCTGGAAAGAACAAGAGGGAAACTGAAGGCATCGGGTCCTGCATGCTGTACATGTCAGAGGGAAGTAAGTCTTCATGTGTTTTAGTTAATGCACCAAAGATAACAACAAAGAGCTCAGACTCTTGGCCACAGACATTTCCAGATACAAATGACAGACTAATCACAAATTCTGCTCCTAAGGGTCCTTCATGATATTCCCCATCTCTAGGAGGTCACGAGGAGAGCTCTCTCTAGGAGAGCGCTCTCAGGTACGGGCTGGCTCATGTGAATGGCYCCAGAATACTCCCATGTACAAGGATGGGGGCATGTTGAGAGTCAAAAGCTAGAGCACAGAGACAGGGATCCAGTGTGAGCACTGGACATTCTGCATGGTTAGACCAAATTGTGGGCAAATCAGGCAAACTGTAACCTCTTTGAGCTTTACTTTCCTCACCTAAAAATAAGACCACATGATCCCTACTTCACAGGTTGGTCATGAGGATGAAGGGAAGCCAGCCCTTCTTAGCCACGGGGTAYACATCCCAGACTCAACCACACGAAGACCCAGGTAATTTGTGTGTCTCTACTGAACACGTACAGAATCTTTCTCTTGTGATCACTAGTGTGACATCTATACATAGCATTTACATTGTCTGGGTACCTTGAGTAATCCAGAGATGACTTAAACTGCATGGAAGGACGTGTGGGTCATAAAAGATAAGTGTCCATGGACTTGGCTGTCAGGTSCCAGAAGCAGTCCCCACAGACACTAACGTACAGCTGTTTGTGTGATGTAGTTATTTGTACAATGCAGTTTGTTCCCCCAAAAAGTCATTAATAGGGTCCAAAATCATCAAGGGAGTCCATTAATGTGACTGAAAATGTGCCATAGCTAGACAGATACAACTGTTTCCCGGGCCATTTTCAAACTCAGTTTAGAACACGCYGTGCCTGAGACCTGTGTGCAGTCAAGCTTGTCCGCACCCCACCCAGGAGGTGTGCAGATGAGGACTGGCCTCTCGAGCTCAGAAAAGGAATGGTTTGAGGATGTCCATGAGTCAAGTCAGAGGACACAGAGCTCTYGACCAAAGGATTTTTTGAAGCTACACAGGGACTTATGGCATCTTTAAAAGCCATCACAGATCAGAACAAGGGAAACCTGGATTCTAGGCCCAGCTTCAGATATTACTGATGATAGGGCAGGGTGGGGGACAGAGACAGGGAGAGRGAGAAGATAGATGGAGACAGGTAGAGAGGCAGGGGACTTTTATATCTTGGAATACTTACTCCCTACCAGCAAAGTCTCTCACGGAACTCAGACCCTGGGTTCTACCAAAGTGCTAAGCCTGCCTGGCTCCCGCAGGCCACATCCCTCAGCCTGGCAGTGGTCACCCAGAGCTGTGCCAACTCCCCCACACTCTTGCACACACCCTTGATTTCAGACATCTGCTTCCCTGTGCTGGAGCCTCACAGACTCACACAGCTTCTAACGAAAGGAAAGACGATGACCTGCTCATGCCTGCCCGTACCTAAGGCAGCAAGTTCAGTGACACCCAGGCTCAGGCTATTCTCCACCCCATTGTGCCCGCAGGAGAGACAGGGGCTCCCTGCATGCATTTCCAGAGGGAAGGAGAAGGACTCATACGGAATGCCTTAYGCTGGGCCTCTGAACATGGTCTGCCCTCCCATCTCCTGGAAACGCTGCCACAGCTGCTGGAGGGTCTCTTGCTGGGGGAGAACAGGACAGGAGGAATGACATCTGCCYAGGAGGGGAGAAAGGACTGTAAGTGCCTCTTCAGGCCTGCGCTCAGGTGCTGGGRAAGGTGCCACGGCACAGACCGAGTGTGCCCCACAGGCAGGGACAAGGTGTGCAGACCTGTGGGCTGAGAGGCACAGGCAGGCCGTTGGGGATGGCAGAGCAAAGTAGTGTGGGCAGCAGCGCGGGGGACATGCAAGGATGAGCAGCAGAGGAGCAATTGAGGTGACTGCTGGAGTCTGAGGAAGCCATGTGTGGCATGGCGCAGAGCCCGGACGAGACCCAGAGAAGCAGTTCCACTCCAGGAAGCTCTGATGGAAGTGCTGGCCCCTGGCCAAGGTAAGCAGCACAGTCAGGACTCAGGGACCAGGACTCAGGGACCAGGACTCAGGGACCTGGACTCAGGGACCTGGACTCAGGGACCTGGACTCAGGCATGGCGAGAGCTGCTATCCCCAGCAGGGCTTCCCTGTGAACAGAGCCCCCTGGTGCTGTGCCTGGGGTCTCCTGAAGTCTCAGTGACTCCACTGTGGGTCACCAAGCACTGGAGGCTTTTTAAGCAGGAACAAACGTCTTTGGAAAAGGAAACATTAGCRATGTGCCAAGAACAGGTACCTTTCCAGGTCGTGGTCAGTGATCAGGCCCTTCAAATCCACTCACTCTCTCCTCTGCCACAGCCTGCTGTTCCCTCAGCACCCAGCATCTCCAACGAGACTATGGYACCCAAAGGACCTGGACCCTTCCAGGCACCCAGCCCCAAACGGCTGAGCCACCGCATCTGAGTGCTCCCGGCTCCTGCCTGCCCCGGCCCACAAGGCTCTGCTTCCCATTCCTAGGTCTCCACCAGGATCTTCTCACCACAGGGACAYTGTCCCCTTCCTGAAGTCTATGGTGTGTCCTGGGTCAGAGTCAGGAAACGAGGCAACACATGTGCAACCTCAGGCTAGTCCCCTCCCTCCTCTCTGGAGTAAGGCAGGTGCCCAAGCCCATCTCTGAAAGGATGCCCATGGGATGCTGGGCAGTGCCAGGTTCATGGGGACTTGTTACAGATTTTGTCTGTTCTCCATTGGGTGTTCTAGGGACAGGGACCTCAGGGCCACTTGGAGTCACCAATCTACATTCTGATTCCTGGAAGCCATTTTCCATGCTTCACAGAGCTTTGCTGTGCTTTTGTGAAGAATACACACTGCAGATGTAGAGAACCCCCCTYGCAGCAAGGAGGTCCCACACGCAGGGCATCCAGTGGCAGCCACAGCCCCAGGGGAAGCACAGACTGGCCATGGACCTTTCCATGTGACTCCTCAGAGTTGTGGTTTCATATGATTAAATTACAGATGTAAATTCTTATTCCCCTTTTATTGAAAAAGCAATGTGCCCTGGGAACACACCTCTAGGGTAGAGGGTAAGSAGAACAGGCATGGTGCGCTACCCGKCATYGCTGGGCACCACTGCATGAGGCACCCACTATTGGCACAGCTACTCCCAGTATTCCCTTTCCCATCTGGGTTTCCACACCAAGCCACCAAGCCTCCACTCCACTCCTTCCTCCCCTGCCTGTCCCCATGCCTGTGCACAAGGAAAGTGGTGTGGTAGACAGGTGCAGCAGGACATCACCTGAGCTGAAGCTGTGACATGACACGAGTCTCTGGGCCACTCTGAGCTCTCAGCCCTCTCCTCTTCTCTGCAGAGATGATTTGCTTCTTGGAGGACTTAGCGGGACCAGAGCCTCCCTTCTCTGCTTTCTCTCTTGTTCAACTCTCAGGGCCTCCCCAACCAACCCCAGTCTGCCTTGTTAGATTGACAGCCTCTAGTCTTTGCCGCCTCCTGCTATCACCCACTCCCCGGCCCTTGTGACACAAGCATGTAAATAGCTCTGCCATCTGGTCACTGGATTCAGAGGCCTGCTCAGCCTTCCTAGGTTCCCCTCCTTCTCCTGCAGCCCTGCATCCCACCCATTCCTTGTCCTAAGGAAGGCATCCTGGGAGTGCTCTCCAACTTCCACCACAACTTTTCTATGACCAAGTTCAAAAATCTCATCTCAGGCTCTGCCTCTGCCCCAAGCAGACTCAGGCCCCAATGGCCTGCCATTAGGAAGCCCTGTCCCTCATGCCAGTGTGTCCTAGACTCAGCTCCTGATGTTCCTAACATGCTCTGAGTTTTCTCCTTTGTGAGACACAACATGATTTTTCACAGAGCTGTGAACTGTGAAGGTCATCTCCAATTCCTACTCCTCTGTACAAGCCATGGTCAAGATCCACAGATTCTTCACCCACTTCTCCAATCTACACCTCCTTTGCCAGCTTCATGGCTGCCACGCTGCCTCCCAGCTCTGGCCAGAATTCACCTCAGCCCTCAACAACCCTAACCCTAACCCTAACCCAGTCACCAAGGCAGGTTGTCTATGGATGCCTCCAGACAAGCTCCCAACCTGGCTGGGTGTCCCCACCTGTTGGGGATCACAAATCAAGTCAAGATGGCACCTGGCAGTTTGCCAGGAGGAGTGGTTTGTGAGGCAACGCCACTGAGCCATTAAGATGGTGGAGATTCCTTATTGGCTGAYTGCTGTATCTGGATGATGCTAATTGAGTCAAGCTGTGTGTTATCAGTTAGGTATACATACCACTGTTGTTCCRTAATAAAGCAATTCCCGTTTCAACCTTCAAGTTGCTTGTCACCTCCCAGTTACTTTGCCCAGCCAGACTGCGGCACCCACCTGCCTTCCTCAAGCAAGCTGACTGTTCTGCTTGCAGCCTTCTTCCCCTTGATTTCTATCAAATCCTATCCCTGAACCTCTGGAGGTTTTGCAGCCTGCTACACAGAAGTCTGCTATCAATTTGAATAAAGAGGCTGTGTTGGGAGATTAGAAAGAATTTGGAAAAAAATATGTATGATCTCACGTAAGTTAAAAAGTCAGAATGCAGAACTGGAAGTATGAGAACAGCTCTGTCCTGGGAACTGCACATGAAGACCAGGACCTGTGTCAGGCTACCCAGGGCATCGCCGTAGAGTGAGGAGGCTTACATTGAGGGGAGGGGCTCGGTAGGTGTGTTTTCTTTCTTTTCACATGTTTATACTATTTGAGCATCTCTAACCCCAAACTCTGAAACCCCAAAGGCTCTGAAATCAGAAACTTTTTTTTTTTCTCTACAGTGCCTGGGATTCACCCCAGGGGCCCACAAATGCTAGGCAAGGACTCTGCCACTGAGTCACACTCCCAGCTCTGAAATCAGAAACTTTGTGAGCACCGAACAATATCTCAAAACGTTTTTAGTTTCAGAGCATTTCAGAATTCTGACTTTGGGATTAGGGATGCTCAGCCAGTGAAGTCTATGCAAACAGTCCGAAATCCAAAAACAGCCCACCCTGGCAAAATGAGAGAAAATAAGAAAGGAAAAGAGAATCAAATGAGCCAGCATCTGGGAGGATCATTCTGTGAGACCAGGAGAGTCAGCATGGCTGGTAAGCCATGAGAGGTACGTGTGGCCACTGCTCAGGACACTCCACCCACTAGCCCCAGAGAGGCAGACATGYGCACTGCCAGCTCAGACATTGCCTCTACCAGGAAGGGGGGGGGGTGACCAAAAAAACCAATGGGTTGCAGATGTTTGAATTCCTCTCCTAATATCATAGATTTCTTAAGGGAAATGCAAAGCCAGGCTCCTTACATTTTGTACTTATTCAAAATCAGAAGAGGAGAGAAAACACTTGAAAATCCTTAAAAATCAAAGTACTCTTGAATGTTCCCATGCCCTGCTCTGCATTTTCTGAGCCAAAGAGATTAAGAGAGAGACTGGGAAAGAGGAGAACTGAATCAAGTTGGCACCAACCCCAGCAAAACTCTGAGCCATCTCATGTGTTAGGAGAGGGGGGCTTTTGGCTAAGAAATAAAGTGGTTCTTGGCTGGGTTGATATAAATTATCTTCAAAAACAGAACTGCTGCCGGAGCAGCTTGGGATGGTAAGCCTGAACCAGTTCTAGACTAATGGCTCATGTTTCATCTCAGATGAGTCATGACTGAATTAGGGAAGCCAGCCTGTTGAGAAGCCACAGAACAAAGCATCTCAGGGACAAATAGTGGCTTAAAACGTCTGTAGTGGCATCTAGTTTAAGAGAAATGGGAAGTTAAACAGATGATACAAAGACTGCGCCCCAATGTGAATAACTCCTAGGACCGTATTATACTTGGCAACTCAATTATAGGTCTGAGTTAACAGGCTTCTCCCACTGAACCTCTCCCTGCTGCTTCAAGAAAACCTCCACCTTCTCTGGCTCAAACATTCACAGTTAACGTCTGGATCCCACCACAGTCCCCTACTTCCCATCTCTCCCTCCATCTCTGCAAGTCCCCCTCCCAGTGAGAACAGCCCGGGGTCTGCAGCACCTGCTGCAGATACTCTGCCCCAGGACCCCAGCCCCAGTGCTCCAGCCCAAAAGCTTTTCTAGCTATTTCCTCTCTAACCAGTTTTTTCCTATTCCACTTCTGAGAGACGCCTAATTACCCAGCCTCATTTCCAGGATGGAATCAGCTCCCTGATCCAGGCAGAATATATTCTTCTCCATCAGATTTCACTCATTCCTTATTCTAGGCCTCTCAACTGATCTGTATTTGTCATCAGAAGCGGGAGGACCATCTCCTTGGACTCACAACAGGTTGAATATTCTCAGGTTTTACAAACATCTAGATTTTCAAATATCTGCATATGTATATCTTGGGGTCGGAGCCCAAGTTTAAACAAACAAACAAAAATCCATATATGCTATATACAGAGCATGAAGTTAATTTCACATAGCATTTTTAGCGTGCCTACATTTTCACTGTGACCCCTTTCTTGAGATCAAGTGTGGAATTTTCCACTTGTGGCATTATGATGCTCAAAATTCATTTTGAGGGCATTTTGCGGGGCTTGGGGTTTTCAGATTAGGGATGCTCAGCCTCTTCAGGACCAACTGTCATTTCCCAGCGAGCTCTGAAGTTCTGGTTGAGCAGTCTGGTGGAAATGAAAACTGAACTATCCAAAAAGCAGTGCAGAGAGTTCAGGAGAGGGGGAGGGAAACAAGACAAGGCAGCTCYGGCTGGCCCCAGCCACTTGTGAACTTCAGAGGAATGTTCTCAAGTCACTTCCTTGCATGTAAACTGAGAGACACTACATTAAACTCTCAACATAATTCAGATTACATACATATCCCTCCCTATCCACAGGAACTAGTCTCAGGACCCTCAAGATTACCAAAGTCCACGGCTGCTCAAGTCCTTCTATAGCAGTGGCATGGATCTGCACAGAACCTGCACTTCTGCCACACAGTTTAAGTCATCTCTGGAGGACTTTTAACACCTAATGCACTATAAACACTATGTAGACAACCGTAAGACTGTTGATCAGGGGGAAAGTCTGTATGTGTTCAGATGGAATATAATTTTTTTCTGAAAATTTTTKGATCCACTATTGATTGAATCCATGGACATGGAGCCAAGGATAGGGAGGACCAACTGTATTTAAATAAATGACTTTAGCTTATTTTTAAAGTAACAAAATAATTTTTCATCTTGATCCGGATGGTGATTCACCTTTCCAAAACCTGCTCCTGGGCCCTGCCCTCCCACAGGCCTTTTCTCCCACTGCCCCACCAGCCAACTCTGACTATTCTGTAAGCCACTGGCTCTTGGCTTTAGGGAGTCACAGATCTTTGAAAAATCTGGGGAAAGCTACTGACCCTGTCCACAGGAAATGCATGTGGTGCCACCTCTTCCCATGCAGCCTGGGATGGAGATGTGCCACACTACAGGCATGGGGCATATGCTGCCTTTTCTGATTCTGCAAAGTTYTGTGTCACTTAGGACATCTTTATAAGCACGGTGAACCCTTCTCACCTATCCTCCCTTCTCTGTGTTCTGAAGGGTCAAACCTGGATCTCTGCTGGATGTGGATGAATCCCAGCAGGAGGCTGGCAGCAAGTTACAATGACAGGGCAAGGGAAGGAGGGGTTCTGGAAAACATGGAGCCTGCCCAGCGTCAGCAGCTAGCAACGGGGGCTGCAGAGAAGAGGCACTGCCACAGGGGCACCTGACCAGGGGTGTGTGGGGTGGGAGGGGAACCTGGCCCTGCACTAGCACCCACAGGAAACCCAATTCCTTCTGCGGAGGCTCTGTGCCTCTCCAGTGGCCCTCRGGCTAGACAGTGTGCATCTACTGGGTTCCCGACTACCTCCTCCCTGCAAGGCACCAGGCTCTTGCTGAACAAGGTGCACCCACTGTGAGACCCGGAAAGTCCTAACTCAGAGGCTGACTCTCACGAGCAAGAGAGACAATCTCCCAGGCAWACGTCACCACACAGGATCACTCCAAGGGCTCGCAGAGGGGTACCAAGTGCTTCACATACCAGCGCTTTCATCTTCTGCCATGGAGGGAAATGTCCCGGGCACTTACCGGTATTTGAGTAATTCTGGAGAGTACTTAGACTTGGCTTTGAAGATCACCTGCAATGACAGGAAACAATGAGGGTAGTGTACCAACGCTGACACAATGCCGCCACCACCTGGAACCCGCCTGCCCGCACACCCAGGCCTGCACACCTTGCCTGAAATAGACGCCCACCTTCCGTGAGAACTTCTGTTATATATACCGATTTTTCAAGTCGYGCTTGTAATTTTAAATGTTTGAAGTAMAGGTATTTAAAAATGGTTAGAATAATTTAAAAAGGACAACCAAAGTGAAGGTGGCACTGATCTACTACCAAGTGCTTCTCTTACTTTGACATTCTTGGTTGAGACCAACAGTCCACCCTTTTCACTAGAATTTTCACTGGCACCAAATTAGCATTGCTCAAATGTGCCCACCTACCCAGATCTCCCCATTTGCAGTGTCAGRTAACAAAACATCTTGGGAGTACAGAAGTATTGAACTGGACTGTTTTTCTCTAAGAGAAATACTGCAGTTTACACTCTCAGGAGCTTCRGAAGCCTGCCCAATGGCTGGCGTGCGGGCATGGTGGCTGGCATGTGGGCATGATGGGTGTGGCATTCCGCCTGGCAGAGCTATGGAGCAGGCAAAGGGGAGGCAGAAGCAGAAACCTACTCACTCCCACTAGGGCAGGCACAGCTGCCACTRCATTCATGGATGAACCTCACCGGGCTTTTGGGGGGCCAGGCAGAGCGACAACATGCGAGCTCCCGGGCTAGCTCTCCCTGGACCCCTGGTGGTGGGTGCACTGAGGGAGGGAAAGGGGGGAATCAAGAGTGGAGAGGTGAGGATCTCCCTCCAGAGATGCRCACGGCAGCTCAGGAGACCCACCTTTCATAGGGTCTGGACCCTCCAACCAATATCTCCCCACCCCCTTGCCAGCCACCCTCCTGCTCTGTTTCTATGAGTTCATCTTTTAGAGTCTACACAGCAGTGGCACGGGCAGTACTTGTCTGGCTAGTTTCAYTTAGCATGATGTCCTCCAGCTCCACATCAGCAATTCCTGGAGACCTAACTCAGCCTGGTGGCAACAGTTAACTGCACCATGTCACATACTTGAAATCTGTTAGGAGGGTAAAGCTCAAGTGTTCTCCCTGCAGAAAATAAGAGTAACCATGTTCAATGACGAGAGTCTCCATCAGCGTGATTGTGGGCATCATTCACTATAGATACACACGTCAACATGTCACACTGTACACCCTGAATTACATGATTTTTGTCAAATACAGCTCAATAAATGGAGGAATAAAAAGGACTCATTCCCTACTTCTAAGCAAACTGTTCCATATGGACTTTCTAAACCTGYCCTTGACCTCTGGGCCTTTTCTCTTGCAGCCCTATGCCACAATGTTCCCAGGAGCCCCACCACCCCTTAACCTGCATCACCCTCCTGGGAATCCCCTGGTGACATGCACCCGCCCTCTGCACACGGCACTCCTCTCAGGATCTGCTCAGTCCCTGCAGTATTTGTCTAAGGGACTGATGCATATCACCTGAGGCCAAAGAAAAAGTGTCCAGCAGAAGCTTGGGCTCTYGTGTGTAGGAGGCACAGGCAACCGTGGAACCACAGTGGGAACAACTGGGTACAGTTGTCCCTTGTCTAAGGAGGAAGTGGGAGCTGGTTTGCTGGACGGGTATCTGAGGGGAACCCCAGGAAACCTTTAGTGRACCTTGGGTGCCTGAGGATTCAGAGAGACTGTGGGCTGATGTGTGGGGCATCCTTAGGAAGCTTCTAGAAAACATTCTTCTGATGACTTTCCAGCATTTCTCAGAATTTCATATACAGAGGAATTCCCTGGGGAACTTTTGAAAAACCAAGTCCCAGGCCCCCTTTTGGAGATCCCAGTCCAGAGGGCCAGGAAGAGGCCCAGGGATCTCAAGTTCACTAAGTTCTCCACGTGGTTCTGACATCGCTGGCCCAGGACTACTGGGGAGATGCTGACCCTAGAGAGAAYGAGCTTCCTGACGTAATACACTGTGGAGCTGTGGATCATTAGAACATTCTGACTGGTGGTGATTCAAATGTAAAACCTTCTAAAATGGCGGGGTGGCCATCCCCCGTAAGTCAGAGCAGTAGTGTCAACATGTGAGGTGAGAAGCGGGACACGGGGAACACATTGCTGCAGCCAGCCCCCATCCATACTACGTGTCACCTTGAACTTCCAGGAATGTGCCACCAGGGAGGACTCCGGGCCAAAGAGTCGCTGAGGGGGTGGTTACAGGTGTTCCCACAGGTTTCAGTCAGGYGGCTCCCCATCTCCACCTCCCCAGCAGGTGAGTCTGCCAGCTACCTGGAGGGATGCTGTGGTTTCTGACAGAAGCCTTGTCACGATCCTAAACTCCTTTTGGAAGTAAGTAAGGGGGTTCACCCATAAATACACTGAGATCTTTGGGGCTCTGGTCATGGTACTACAGGTCAGTGTCCCTGCCTGAGTCCTGAYCACCTGCCATGGGAGGGGGACAAGGCTCATGACCTTTGGTACGTCCCTGCCACCCACAGTAAGTTATAGCCTCACTTAGGAGCAAGGAACTGATTAATACTGACTCGAAAATTCTGTTACAAAATTTAACAATGATCCTTACAATTCAATGAGGGCTCCTGTTAGTACTYAGGATCTTRTTTTTAATGACARGAGAAGCAGCTACGCTATCTTTTTWAAAATTCGACCTTGTCATAAAAATATACAACTTTCTTTTCAGATTGTGTGCCCCRATTGTGGGGCTCATTGGAGTCGGGGGACTCACTCTGTCTACTCTACCCAACACCTGACACAGCTGCACTGCAACTGTGTCATCCTGTGGGGTCTCCAAGGGAGTGGCAGCCTCAGCCAGGGCACAGCCTGGGAGCACTGTCCTGGGGATTCAACTCTGTACAAAGTGCCATTGGGAACGAGGGAGGAGGATGTGACAAGCCCTACCTTCAGCGGGCTTGGGGCGCTCCTGGAGAGGCAGGAGCCAGACACATAGATCATGGCAACAGAGGACCCCGGAGGCTCCAGCCTCACTTGGTCAGAGCAGAGACCGGGCTTGCAGGTCATGGGCTCAATCTGGGCTGCTACGTCGGCCCTTCTCTGCTCCTTGGCACCTGCTGCAGATGTAGCTCTTGTCACAGGAGAGACAGAGGAGGGGTCTGGGTGGATTAGGGTTCATCCATGGCTACTCTGGGGTCTCTGCTCATTCCCACTCGTTGGGCAATGCTGTGTCTCTTGCCTGGGACCTACAGAATGGCATCCCCAGCCAAGAGCTGCAAATAGGYAGAGGGGCCCATTGGCAGTGAGGCCCACCTGTCCCCCGCCTGCCACCACCTCCCCTCCCCCACTCCTTTACAGAGAAAGCATTTCCTCACTTCCCTCAGCCCTATCCCTTTCTAGATCTCAGTGAAAGACAGAGTTTSCTAGGATGGTCACCAAGAATTCCGTGCAGTCTTTGAGTCTTACAAACATTCATATGCTTTGTCCTAATAAATTCCACTTGTAAGAATTTACCCTCAGTTTCTCAAGCTATTCCAACAGAATTAGAAATTAACCACAAATGTTATTGAACATAATGTCACGTGACCAATTTTAGAAATCAGTAGGAAAACACTTGTTTCCCTCCAGGAATTCTCAGAACCTTTTAAAAGCTAGTATATTGTCAGTCTCCAAGAGGAATGCACGGGACAAGCAGGTAGGTGGCCCCAGGAGGTGGCAGCCTGAAGCCAGGCCAGGAGTGTGGGGGTCCCTAGGTAAGAGATGCTGAGGACTCAGCAGAAAACTAACATCACTACAGAAGGAGAGGGGGGTCAGGGTTGGGGACCAGAGCAAATGGCCAGCACTATGACTGACAGAGAAGGTGAACACAGGTGTGTGTTTAAAAGCAAACCAGAGACATGGTAGATCAGAGGCTGCCTAGGCCCAGGGGTCGGGGAGTTGGGGAGTGACTACTATTGGGTACAGGATTCTTTTGGGGATGATGAAAAAATTTCTAAAATTGATTGTGGTGGTAGCTGCAATCTCCATAAATACAGTCTCAGTAGGACTTCTATCTCAATGAAGCTGCTAAAAATAAAAGGCCTAGAGAGGAAGTCCAGCAGGCCCCCTCAGTCGCAGTGGCCTCTCTGCTGGGTGGGGACGATCTGCAGGAGGTGAGGCAGGATAATAGTCCACCCACTCTGGGGAGCGAAGGAGGGCCCTGGGGAAGTTCACGGCCACTGAAGCAGAGGAGGAAGTGGGAGCGGTGAGTCAACTCCAGACATAGCTACTCCTCAAACGTGTGCTGTGACAGGCAAGACGTCACTCAGGGGTGCAGGGCCCTCGTTCCTAAGCCTGGGTGACCCAAGTGGGACCCAAGGAGGGTGAATCAGGCAGAGGCAGGGCCCATCGAGGGCTCCCTGGAGAGGGTGGAGAGTACTGGGGGGCGAGGTCACGCTGCAGGTTCCCAGTGGCTTAATGGAGACTTGATAGGAATGGCCAGTGAGTGCGGAGGGTCCTGCCTTCCCTCCAGTCCCAGGAAGTCTGCACAGTTCTGAACATACCAGGCTTCTCAGGGGTTGCCTATGGCAGCGACAGGGACAGAGGAGGGGCGGAAGCAGAGCTGGAGGACAAGGTGAGCTGCAGCTCTCACGGGTGCCCTGCAGACACAGCATTTCGCCTGCCCTTAGCAAGCTCCCTGTGCTTTTAGCATCACGGTCTCTGCTTCTTAAAGTCCCACCTAGAACCCCGGCGGGACTCAGCAGGCCTGTGGCGGTAGCCTGACCTGGCTTCTCTGGTGGCTGCTGGAAGAGGGAGCATGGGAACCCCTGTGGTTACAAGCTGGCCTCCTCATCCCCACTGTGGTGGCCCTGGGCCCCAGCAGTAGCCCCACGCCCTTTACCAGGCCCTTGCAGAGGTCAAGGGCACCCAGGGCACCGCTGCTAATATGTCTGCTCCTGCGGAAGCAGAAAGGCCTGCAGCCATTGAGCCCTCCTCCTGACCCATACATCATGGCCTGCTCCTTGCCGACCCGCCGACCGACACCCCCTCCGAACTCCTGCCGCCAT